GCGTTATTTCCACCAAGGTTTATGCAGGAGGTACCCTGGAAAGGCTGGGATAGGGGGGCCTCTTGCAACAACTTCCCTTATGGCCGTCTGGGAGAGGGGGAAACAGCCTTTGTTCTCTGCTGTTGTAGCCTGAGTCTGTCCTGGCATGGCTGTGTGCTGGGCCTGTGCTTTTGTAGCAGGATTGATCTAGTCTTTGGGGAGGACAGGGAGGTGTTGGGCGCTGGTGGGTACCTGACGTTCCTTCAGAAATTTCCCTTTATTTCTCTTGGTTGGAGGAAAAGGAACATGTCTCCTCCTTGCTCTGTGACAGCCTGTATGTATAACTAAAGTGCAGCATTTGGCCTCTTCCGTGGGCTCCTTAATATTGGATTTCCCTCCCCACCACCGAGGCTGTGACCTGCCTTGGAAGATGGACCACGCCGTTCCTGCATCCCTGTCACTCACAGCACTGCCTTTCAAGCCAGGAGCTCAGAGTAGGCAACGACTCGAGGTTGGATTGTCGTATGAGGCTCTCTAGATTCAAGCTACAAACATTTTTGTTGTTTATGGAAGGGATTAGGCTAGCGCAAAGAGCAAACATTTGTASCCTGGAACACACTACTCTTCATAAACATGCTAATTGCCTCGTGTTAGCTGGGAGTCAGTTACTTCAAGGTTTACGAGTGTGAGTTCATGAACACGTACCCCTTAAAAACAGCCTGTATATTCACATGCATCCCTGCGTTATGGGGGGTTGCCAGGGCTGGAAGGTGTTTCTTTTTAAGAGGACGTTGTTTGATGATTGCATATTACAGCATTTCTCGACACCTTTCTCTGAAGCTTATGACTCTCAGATAAGATAAGGGGCTACGCAGATCATCTACCTCATGGCAGCGTACATGCAGTTTTCTATGCGCAAGCTGTAACACTTTAATTTTACTGGAATTGAGATTATTTATAGATTTAACCGACTAAATACTTTGCATATATCAGCATGCTGATACAGAAGCGATCCGGAGTTGCATTGCTGCAAGGCTCCTTTCTTATCTCAGTAATTACACSCGTGTCTCTACTAAGCAAATCCAAGTCACCCTGCCACAAAATAACCAAATCTTTGCGAACCGAGGGTTTTGTGCAAGATGGGGAGGTCTTTGTGTAGCTTGGCTCTGCCTTTCTGGTGGTGGCTCTCCCTATCCCCGTGCCGTGGTCTCKGATCACCACCTGCTGTCTGCTGGAAGAATTCATTGGAAATCACACGTGCTGAAGCACGCCGGCTCACACGCTGGCTCCAAGCGAGTATGAGATGGGTTTTTAGCTAAATGGCGGACAGGACCCTACATTGGAGGGGCCGGCGCGCGGCCTTGGCCTCGCAGGCCCAGGGCGGCGCCTCACGGGGCGAGCGCGACCCCCAGGCCGCCATGTCGCGTGAGGGGAGACCCTGCCTGGTCTGGGTGTGTGCTCTGATGGGCACGGGGGCGTACAACGATGAGAAAACATGCTTGGTGTGGGGCCCGGGGTATACATATGTGTATATATACATATATAATTTCTTAAAGAGCAGGTGTTTGGCTAATTATTCAGGTTACAGGTGGGCTGAGCGGCCTTCCCTGCTGCGCCTCTCGGGTGTGCCCAGCTCAGTCTATGGCCGCCATTGAGTCAAGGCTCAAGGGAGTTTCTGGAGCGGGAACAGGCGAGACCAGCAAGGCTGGAGTGCGGGATGCAGTAGGGATCCGGCAGACAAAACACTTTCAGTCCTTCCATTTGCCTCCCCTCCGACTCGACTTTGGGTTTCTTCAGTTGTCTTTYGTATACGGAAGCGGGAAAACCAGTGCCTCTGGTAGTGGGATTTTCTGTGGTGAGGTAGGAGGAGAGGAAGGAATCCACGTTCTGTGCTTGAAGATAGGGGGGGTTGTTTAATTTTTAGTCTTTGAATATATGAAATGTTTTGTGAATGTTGAAATTTGGTGGAATGGGGGAATAGGATAGAATTTCCTGTACATTTTGAAGATAGATATATGTCTGTCTATCTATCTATCTGTCTATCTATATTTTTAACCAAGTTCTTTTTCATGGACCCTAGTGGACATGGAAGAAACGTAACTCTAAAGCATCAAAAGAAATTAAATTTACAAGAAAAAATAAACTGTAAATGTGTACATAATCGTATCGAGAGAAAAGTAATTTGAAAGACAGCTACTCAATGGGAAGATGAAACCTGGCCAAGCATAATAGTGAAAGATCTGCAGATAACCTGAGACATTGAACTAAAGATAGATTTGTAAAAAAAACAAGCAAACAAACAAAATTCTGTGTTAGAGAGGGTAGAAAAAAATTATAATGGTATTAAAAGCATCGTATTCTGCAATTCTGCACCTGAATTTCTTTAGTTAGAAATATTAGGAAGGTCAGGCAAGGTATAATTACCAGGATATTTTGACTTGTGAGGCATGATTAAGCTCAAGATGAATATGTATTATCAAAACACCACAAAAAAACAAACAAAAAAACAAGAGGAGAGAAATAACACCTTCCACCATTCAAACATTTGTACATAACTGAAGGAGGAGAAAAATATTTGAAAGGCTGAAATGCATTTAAACTAGAAAGAGCATTTTTGACTGGGAGGTGGGAAAAGATATTGTTGAAAATAAGATTATATAAGGCTTATGGGTTGGCATTTGAAGTAGTCCAAGGGTGAGATTAAGGCGAATGCTGGAGTTTGCCCTTTAGGGAGCAATCCTGCCCTGTGCGAGCTCAGCAATCCTGGGATTTGCTTGTCTCCAATTAGGAGTCTCRCCTTAGTATCGGGGATGCTCCCAGTGCCTGGATGTGGCTTGGTCTGAGAAAACTGAGAGTAGCTTCTGGTGCTGGGTCATTACTGGAATTATCCTACCAGTTGTAATGATTTTACAATCTGTTTCACATTTAGCTATCAGAAAAGGCAAACAGAACAAAAGAGGGTGGGAGAAGATGTCAGGCAATATGGCCTGTACTGGAACAAACAGGAAACTGGATATAGCGAAATCCTCTAATTGGAAATATGGTCAAGCAGAAAACTTGGAGCGGCAGCAATATGTGCTTGGAACAGAGTTGTCATAGCAGGTGGGGATAGATGAGTGATTTTGGTTGATGATCTCCCCAGCTCTCAGTTGCCTGTCCATCGTTTCTCCCCTCTTCCCTGCCCAGTGTAAAAGGCTGCCTCGTGGATCCTGGTGATGGTGCAGATTAAGGGAGGAGTTCCCGGCTTTTGAAGCCAAGAAAGGCAAAGAAGCTCACTGGGAAGCTCACGGGTGCAGAGCTGCCTCTCTGAGGCGGGGAAAGAAAAACCCTCCTGTTCTGAGAAAGGCGCTCGCTGTTGGGCATGGCTGCGCGGCCACTGGCGGCGAGTGCCSGAGCGCGGCCGCGGCGCTCCCGGCGTTCCTTTTTCCCCCTCAGATAAGGCTGCGGAGCCGTGTTGCTGCACACAGCGAGCCCCTGCACTGATTGGAGTTCGCTTAATGAAACCGCCTGYTGTTCGGCGGCGGCTGCAGCTCTGCGCCACAGTATCCAATGTCCCTCCTTCTCCCTCGCCGCCGGAGCGCGCGGCCACGTGGCCCCCGGGAGGATACACAGCAGATAGGCTCATGTCGGAGCGCGGCTGGGACTCAGCCAGGCTCCGAGTGAGCCGGCRCGCTGAATTTATCGCCGTTCCGTGCGCCTGGAACGGGGAGCTGCCGCCTGCCCCGTAAAGGGCCTGCAAGGTCTGTCCGCCTTCACTGGAGGTCTCTCCGTTCCTCCCCCTGCTKAAAGGCTGCTTTGTAATGGCCTGCTCTGCTTTTCCTATCTGCGGGATGCTGGGGAGCGTTTTCCTTTTACTCCATTGAATTAAGCGTCCCTGTGTCGGGATCGGCCCAGGTACCTCTGGGCTTTGTGGGGGAGGACCCGGGGCTGGAAGAGCAGCCAACATTTAAAATCGGGATTAGTCTGTTGACACACACATAAATCAAACAGCCCTCCTATCGTAAATCTTTCCCTTGGATTTTTCTGCTGTGATGGTGAAAGCTGTGCAGCAGTCTGGGCTTTCAGGGCTGAGTTTCAATGTCAGAGCTCTTCTCCTTTATCCCAGGTGACTGGATCCAGCTCCCTGCTCTCCTTTCTTTGCAGTCCAGCAGCAGCTGCACTGCTGCATGCTTCGGTGGTGGCTTATTTTTTGTTTATTTGTTTTGTCTTAAGGCACTCTGGAGGCCTGGTGGGGTGGGATGTTTACGGTCTTTGGGGAGGTCTTTTGTGTGCAGTCAGCTGTCTGCTTCGGAGTCATCCAGTTGGTGTCAGCTGCATCTGAGGCAGCACTAAAAGCTGCTAAAAATTCCCTTATGCCAGTGCAGAGGTCTCTGTGRGGAGCCGTGAGCTGAGGGAGGAGTGTGTAATCCACACCTTGCAGGGAGGTAGTGGTGCTCTTGGTGGGGACAGGGCAAAGGGAAGGGGCTGCTGCACAGGTCCAGCCTAAAACATGTGAGAGGGAGATTTCCACTTACAGAAATATGATAGAGAAGAAAGTGGCCTGATCCGCACATGGTCTGTAGAGTTGGGACTGTCAAGCAGGAGGAGACGGACCCAGATATGGCATCTAGGGAAATTTAGAAGTTAAAACCCTGCTTTTTTTTAATCTGGGGTTCCTTCTCCATTTCAAGCCAATTGATGCATCCTCTCCCTTCCCAAACACTGCCATGTTATGCTTGAAGTATTTTGTGGAATTACAGCATTGTGCAAGTTACAAACCTCATAGTTTGGTCTCCTTATGCCACCCAGTAGTGGAAAGGAGCCCTGGAGAGAATAAGAGAACAGACTTGTGGCTCATGGGAGCCACAAGACTTTCCAATAGAGAAGATAACGGAAGACTGCAATGACATGATGGCAGTGGGTGGCTTATTTACACAAGCTTTGTGGCCCRTGTGCAAGTTTGTCAATGCTTCCTYGGGATGATGTTTTATTCCATCCTCTGTGGCTTATTAAATCCGTTTCCTTGTTTCCTCTCCCCTCAGGGTAACCAGGAGCCAGCCGCCACTCCTGATGCAATGGTGCAGCCATTCACCACAATCCCGTTCCCGCCRCCCCCACAGAATGGGATCCCCACGGAGTACGGGGTGCCCCACACTCAGGACTATGCAGGCCAGACCAGCGAGCACAATCTGACGCTCTACGGGAGCACGCAGCCGCACGGCGAGCAGAGCACGAACACGGCCAGCACGCAGAACGGATCCCTCGCGGTAAGTGGGCAGCGGGGGCGCGGGGCCGCGCGCCTCGCCAACGTGCTGCTGCTGTCCCCCAGAGCAGCTGCTGGTGCCGCTGCTGACTGCTTCGCTAGGGTGCAGGAAGCCACTGGTAGATGGAAAAGAAAGGGAGTTGCAAAAGACCAGGGGTTCTGGTGTTCTGTTATTACGTTCCTGTCTTTCCCTCAGGCATGTCCCTGTTGTCTGCAAAGCAAAATGATACTTGAGGTGAGGATGTCTTTGCCTGTAGCTTGGAAAAATGCTTTGATGGCATTGTCCAGGAGTTTGAGTTACCTTCCGCTAGCTGATAAACAGTTCAAATAAATGCGATCAAGGTAAATTCTGGAAAGGTGACAATGCAAAGGATTAGAGTCAGCATGCGTGTTGTAGGTGCAATCCCCAAATGTTTCTGTTTTCAGGAAGCTGGCAGAGTTTAGAAATACTTTGCTTTGACTTTGTGAAGATGGCGGGAAGCTTGAGGGGTGCGAAGGTAGGCGAAGACCTCTCAGCTGCTGTGTGTCCAGTTACCACACAAAGATTTCACCTTCATACGTCTCCTTACTTTCTTCTTCCCATGGCCTGGAACTGGCACTGGGCAACATGCTGGCAGATTATCCCAGGAAAAGCTTTATCCACCCCGTAAGCCACTTGTTAAGATTTAACTTCCTAATAAAGAGCCTTATGGTGAGAGCCTTCAGCGCTCAGGGGYGGCTTTAATCTGTTAATGCTTTCAGTTTTGCTTGTAGTTGGGTGTTTGGCTCATAGAGATTATTTTTTTCCCCCTGTAAGTACTGAGTGAGTTTAGTGCCAGCGATTGGAGGAACTGATAGTGCCAGCTCAAGTGTGCCTGGTTCCCAGCGTGTGGCCCTGCTTTTCTGCAGTGGACAGTGGCTGCACAGCTGACGACGTTAGTTAYGACTTTGATAAGATATCTTGGAGTTTATCCTGGGAATGTCTAAGCTTCAGTGTCTCGCAGAAGAAAAGTGTACAGACCCAGGCAGGTCTGGCCAACTTGGGTAATGCTTAGAGASAACTGGACGGGCCTTCCTCAGCATAGGGGCCATTCATTACAAATACAGACCAGAGGAGATCAGGCTAGAAAGAAAATGTAGAGCTGATGCAAGGTATAGTGTGCAGTAATGGAAGCCGTCGTTTTAGTGGCAGGTTGTCCCCTGCCCTGCCAGCCGGCAACATCTGCRCTGCTAGTCTGCAGCCCGAGAGCAGGCAGCGCTGCAAGGACTGCGAGTTTGACGTGAAAGGTAGAAATGGGGAATAAAACAAGGCAGCAGCTTTCCCTATGCATTTTGCCTGTTCCCATCTTTGTCCATAGCTTGAGTGTTTCTTTTTTAATGGAAATGATGTGAGCCTTGACCTTGGACGTAAATGTCTGCCAAACCTTCTGCTCCTCTTCCATATTAGGAGCCATCTCGACGACACCACGGCATCGAGCTCTGTGTTTCATCAGCTAATGCAAGCTCCGAGGAGCCCTGGCAGGGTGACATGGTGATGCTCCCTAGCCTCCGGAGAGGGAATAGGAGCCCGTATGTGCAGGAGGGAATGTTGCTGGGAAACTGCAGCGAGGAACTGGCGTTCCCAGGAAGCTGTGGAGGGACCGTGAGAGGGAGAGGCTCRCTGAGAAATGGGCTGAAGGGCACGTGGCCCTTGTCCTGGCTGTTGGAAACAGGTGGACGGGGCTGTTCTGGCCATTTAACACAGTTAGAGATGTGCAGGCCGAGTGTGCAGAGTCAGGCATGCAGACCATAGCGAGCCAGGCAAGGGTGAGGGTGAGTGTGTGGCTGTTAGGGCTGGAATTGCTCAGGCAGGGGATCCCAGATGGTTGTACGTGCAGAAATTCAGTGGTGGGAGGGAACAGTACCTGTGCCTARGGCTCTCTTGGACTTTCTTACAGGCATCGGCTCTTGGGGGTTTTGGGTCGCTTTATCTTTCTGTATTGGATTCCTAGTGTATGAAATTATTTTTGTTTTGTTGAGATTCCCTCCTTTGTAACCTTTCTACTTCTCTGAACACTGTTTAATGAAGTAGGAAATACATCATTAAGAGAGATAGGAGGAAGGTTTAGGAAGGAAAGGAAGTTTGGTGGTTACTAAAGCTARAAGATACTGTTAAAATACAGCAAGTCAAATAGGTTGTTCCACCTTGAAAATCCACAGCTCTCGTCAGGTCCGTCACATATACTGGTTATTGTTGGGCACGTACGCTAAATCCACGTGCACTAGATTGCTGTGGACTGAAGGTTTTTAACTTTTATCATTTTGTCTGCCTCGACTGTGCTGACTTCAACACAGCAGAAAGCCCTGGTGGGTGATACATGATCCAGCCCTCTCGTTCTGGGACTGACAAGTGCAGCTGCTGCTGGGTGAGTGAAGCTGATACCCCAGACTGAGTAGCCAGCACATTTCTTAGCTGCTGACATGAAGCCTGTGCTCCTAGGGGGCAATTCAGAAATTCCTCCAACCAGACAGATTAGGGCCTTCCTTGCTTTTAAGAGCAGGATTTCTGCTGCTGTCTGCTGTCTAGAGATAATGGAGGTGTAGTGGGATAGCTGATTCCCCTCCTCTTTCAGATTTCTGCTTTTAAATTGTTAGTTTAAGATAATTTCAAAAATAACAGAGAAGATGGGGTGAGCTTAAGGTCCCTCATGGAAAGATTTTATTTATTTACTTATTTGATTTGGAATGGGTTACACAGCAGTGTAATGCGGTCTGTCTCTTACACCCTGGGTGGGAGCCCATCCCTGGAGAAGTTTGGCAGATTCTGACAGGCAAGTGAGATTGGGTGACTTGAGATCAGTGGTGGTGTCTGTTGAGTTAATCCATTATGATCTGGAAGCCTGAAATTGAATACCAGCAGTGAACATAAGGAAAAAAGCCTGTAGAGTCCAAGTCTATGTGCCTTCCAAAATGCTGCACATAACCACAGTGGAAATGGGAATGGCTGCAGCTAGGGATAATCTTGGTGCTGGATTCCTGAGAGTGGTAAGAAGGATTTGAGCTGTCAGAACAGGGGCAGCAGAAGAGAAATGGGTCTAAAAGGTGGTGCAATACGAAGCTTAGTGTTTTGGGGACCATTTTATTTTAGGTTCAAGCCTCATTTGTGGGGCTTTGTTTATTATCTGGCATGTGAGTCCTYCTGGTCTTTTTCTCGAAGCATCTGTCCTTTCTCTTGATACTATCCCAAAGCACAGCTGAAAGACCTGGATTAAAAATAGACCGAGGTAGCAAGCCATATTTGGCCTCCTCGGTCTGCTTACAAGCGACCTGTCCTTTAAACTGTTGACACTTTGCATTTCACCTTTTTATAGCACTGAGTCGCCTGGCTTCTTCCCCCCTTTTTTATGTGTGTGGTTTACATTAGTGTGCTTATCCCTAATGGAGACACTCATCACAGAGAGCTCCAAGTGGAGATGTTAATGAGGCTGCAGTTCCTCTGGCAGCTAATCTGATCTAACGCTGTCAGGGAGGAGAGCTCTGGCTCTCCCCTCAGCCGCTCCAAAGGCAAACTCCCACCCCTGCTTCCCGACTCCATCATTCCACCTGCGAGCTCCCTTAAGTCACTGCCCTGGTGGAAGGCTGCCCAGTTCTTCTGCAGGGCTCGTGCCTTAAAGCAGCTCTTGGAGGAATCCTGCTCCCGTGGCCAGGTGAGCGTGTGGAGCGCGAGGCCCGGAGCCGGGAGCGGCTGTCAGCTCGCTGCATTTCCTGCTGCTCTGCCCTCAGAGGGAAGATTAATCATCCGCTGAACTAAAAGAGCTTGCTCCGTAGTAAATGCAGTTAATGCTGGGAGCTGATTATTCAAGTCATTCCTCTCGGTAATGTCAGAGGGAAGAATTTGTGTCGGTATAAATTACAGGATGCAGCTGGAGGTATAGATGTACGGGAGCAAGTTTATGTAAATGCCTTTGCATGAAAGTAGCAGGTGCTCTTGACTTGTGTTACCTTGTCATGAACTAATAGAACGCGCTATTTAATTACAGAGCATCATGTGTCTCCACTTTCTGATGTGCCGGAACGCCTGCAACTCCTGTGGCAGCCTTTTAACAAAGCCAGAGTTGCTGCTTTCTTCAAGAAGACACCTCTGTGGTGGAGTCGCCTACAAAGGCTGTGCAGAGGGAGGCAGGGAGGCTGAGCAGCCCTCCGAGTGCGCCCCAGATATCGCCRGAGGCTTCTCAGCTTTCCCCTGTAATGCATGGATGATGTTACAAAGATGACATTCCTCTGGGTATTTCTTGCCTGGCCTAAGATTGAAAGGCTTTCCTCTGTAATTATTTACCATCGTTTCAGTAATTAAAGCAGTTGCTCATTTGAAGTGAAGAATATATTTAATTAATATCCTCACTTCTTTTTCTGATACTGTTTTAGTAGGTAGATATGAGGAGCTGGCTTCATATGACTATCCAGCTGCTCGCTATTTGGACCCTTGAGCTTGAAAATTGCTGCCTTACGGGAGCAAACTCTGGCATTTAACATCAGGAATTTGCCTTGGGTATTCTGTTTGTCAGTACTTGTAGACTTGCGCCCAATAAGGCAGATTTAGAAATCTGCCTCTTTTTGAGAGAAATAGGAAGTAAATCAGAAAATACTGTTATGTTAGAGTGTGCAGAAATAGCGTTCCTGCGTATTTCAAAAAGCCTGTAGCAAAATAAGAAGCATAGAGAATGAGAATAATGATGATGAAGATGTAACAGTTGTTTTTATGGAAAGAAACTAAATATTCACTTAAAAAGAAGACATCATAGAGGGATGAAAGGACACGACAGATTTATAGAATCTTGAATAGTGTGGGAAAGAAAATAGGAAACTTTCCCATTTGCTCTTGCTAAGATGCATGCAGAAAATGTTTGTGGCTTGTATGAAACAAAGGATTGGTTTTGTCTTTATTTTTTGATATAAACTTTTGGAACAGGAGCCTTTGGCAAGAGGGCCCTTTGGAAGCCAAGGGTATAATTGCATTGAAAAAACCCCATTAAACCAGTTTGTGGATGACAGATTCACTGCCAGTGACCAAGTACAAAGGCAGGAGCTGGCTCCGTTTGCCGGAGGCTGGGACGCTGCTAGAGCAGCATCACCAGGCACTCGCCCTCCTCTTGGGCTCTTGCACAGATGCTCTGTGTGACCACTGGCACAAAGGCGGCAGGGGCCTGGGCAGGCTCTCAGCCTGTCCTCCCGTTAGCTCTTCCGTTGGCCTGGAAATGCCGTGGTGCGGAGGTGAGCGGCAGCCCGGGCAGTCTCGCTGCCTTGTGCAGCCTGCCAGGGCATCCCCGTGTCACAGGAGACGCAGTAGAAGCGTTCACAAAGGTTTTGGTGTCGTGGCCAGCGCAGTGGGTGTCTGTTTCACCATTTCACTGCTGCCTTGGAGGACAGGGAGAGAAGCCTAGGAAAAAACAAGTACTGCTCAGAAAACATTTCATTTTTTCATTCTTAAATGACATGTAAGGCAAATGGTCTTTGTGCAAGGTGCTTGGCAAACTGCGGGCTTTTGTGTTCAGCTCTTAGGTGGGTTTATGTCTTTTTAAAATGAGGAAAATGAACAAAATAAGTTGTAGGATATCTGCAAATAGGCAATAAGTAGTCAGAAGAAAATGATTTAAATCAATCTCACTAGATTGAAAACACTTAAAAGCTATGTAGGGGTTGCTTGATACACGCTCAGCCATTTTTTTGCGGAATTTTTGRTGTATAGAGTCCTTGGGCACATTGTTACCTGGGTCTTTCTTATGTAACTGTGCTGGCACATCTGAACAATCAGCTACGTGGATGCAATGTTTAAATGAAAYGTGCTGTTGTTGAAAGATGCTGCTTGTTTCTGGGAGATAAATATAATATAGACAGCAGCAGTTCCCCTTTGTTCTGGGGTGCAAACCCCGGTCGGGCCCTGGTAGAGCGTGAAGCGGCACGGGAGGGTTTGAGTGACCACCATCAATTCATCACTTGCTCTTTTCCTATCAGACCTGCTTGGCAGGCAGCTGCTTGCTGATAAATGGCCGTTTCCGCACAAATCCGTGGCTGGGAGCTGCCGAGTGCTTGCCACAGTGCCTGCCCTGCCCTTCTCCATGGGGAGATTGCCATCTGCCAGGCATTCATTTTAGTCGGGGTCTCCACGGCATAGCTCAAGCTCTTGATCAGCGTTTCCCTCCCCCTTTTTATTTGTTTTCTGGGGATCCAAGACTAGTCGAGAAGCGGCGGAGGCGGCACAATCTGTCTCCCGAATTGCGAAACCACCCCAGGCCCCCCTGAAAACCGCTCGCAGAAATTCAGGGRGTTTATCTAAGTGGCTGTGATTCGCGGCGTGCTGGGCTTCCTTCTGCAAGCGCTGCTTTGGGATGGAAGAGTCTGGCGGAGAGCGGGGCAGGAAGCTGCTCCCAGCAGCTCCCGGGACACCCCGGTGTTGCTCGGGTTTCCCTCTGCCCTTTTGCCGGGCCCGCTCTGCCCTGAAGCCGCCGTGTCCTGTGTGGGGTCTCTGGCCTGTTGCTGGGTGTGTGAGAGGTGGCGTGGGGAGCTGGGAAGCGGCGCCAGAGCAGAGCAAACGCCGATGCAGGACCCCCGTGCGTTCCGGGGAGCCCCGTGCGTTCCGGGGAGCCCCGTGCGTTCCGGGGAGCCCCGGGGTGTTCCGGGGAGCCCCGGGGTGTTCCGGGGAGCCCCGGGGTGTTCTGGGGAGCCCCTGAGCGGAGCTCAGGGCCTGCGCCGCGGTCTGGAGGCCGGACAGCGCCCGAGGAGCCCGATGCCGCCCGCGGGGCCGGGGGAAGGAGCGCAGGGAAACGCGGGTTGTTACCGCGCGCCTGCGTCGCGGCCGCTCTCCATTATGCACCGCCTGAAAAGAGGCTTCGGGCCCTTCCTTTCATCTCCCTSCTAATGAACTGAGACAAGGAATAGCCATAAAAGCAGGACGGGGAGGGGAGAGGTCTGAGGAGACTCTTTCATTTGTGTTGTAGCTGGGTGTGCGGCGCTAGACWCATGCAGTGAGCTAATGCTGTGGCGGCGCAAAGTTCAAGCCTTACCTTAGGGCTGTGTGTGATGGAAACGAGGGAGCTGCAGCATCCAGAGAGAGAGACGCTCTTTAATGTTGAATTACTGCTCCAAAAGTATGGAATGTGAAAGCCTGAGAAAACATTTGGGGTCAAGAAGATCAAACTGGACTCGGTTCCTCCTGTTTTTCCTCCACGTTGAAGCCTTTGCCTTAGTGCTGGCATCCCACGCGCGCGGCCGTGTGCGAGGGCAGCTGGGCGCGTGTTTAGAGTGGGCCCCTGTACGGGGTTCGTGGCTTCCTCAATGGGAAGGAGCTGGGCCCTCTGCCTGCGACCAAGTGGACGGGAGGGGAGAGGGGACGAGTTTCCTGGGCTGCAGACGGAGCAGCTCCCCTCCCGTCCAGCTTGGATAGCAGTTTAAGAACTGTTCAGAATCTGTGCCTTTTAATAACGGAGGATGGACTGAGCGTGTTTGTCTGCAGGAGGATTTGCCTGCGTGCGTGTGCGCTTGCCACTTGTTGGGAAACAGAAGATTTGGGCATTGACATCCGCGAGGCTCCGGAACGTGCCCCATAGCGGACTGCGAGGCAGCCCCCTTGAGCGAGAGGGGCGCTGGCTGCGGGCAGTTGCTTTGGAGCGGCCGCTTCTCTGGRGACTGGTGATGGATGAGCTACCCGGGCGCTTTGTCCCTCTTGGATGGATTTGCCCTGAGGAGCGGGGACTCTGATGGAGTCATAAAAATAAAGCTGCCAAATAGCACGGGGTGATTTAATCACAAGCTGCCCGCATTGATCCTTCCCCCGGGGGGCTCTGGCTGTGTGGTGGGAGATGCTTTTTGTCATGGGGGTGAGGCAGGGGATAGCGAGGGGAAGGCAGCTCCACAGAGCTCCGCTCGATCACATCTGAAAAGTTGTTCCTAAAAATGTGATATTTAGGGGTGGATGAGTCTTAGCCAAAGAAGAATGGCTGCTTCTTCGAGCCTTCTCCTGSGACTTGTGTTGCTCTTGGGAGCAGAGATGCTTGCAAAGCAATTGCYCCATTCCTCCCATCAAGGCTGATTTGATACTAACCAGATCAAACATATTTTATGTTGCTGGCTCCGCCCCACCAAGATGAAAGGGAAGCTGCCACCGTTCTGCTCAGCAGGACAAGGGCTCAGCGCTGACTGTGAGTTTGCGCTTGTCCGTCCTTTAAAACCAATGCACAAGGTCAAGGTCATATCTGTCAGAGACATTTCTGGCCAGAAGCAGCTTTGTGCTAACGTTGCCAGTTCATCTTTGGRGAGAGATTTCTTTCCAAATGCCCATGAAGTGTTTGTTTGCTCAGTGGTTGTGCAGGGCACTCTGCTCCGTCCAGTCACTGTTCGGTGTGGGGCTGACGCCTCTGGTGTTTCTCTTTCTTTGAAATACACAAACTGTATTTAAAACAACCCCTAAAACTACTCAATATTAAGTTTAAGGACTTTCTTGTATGTCACTTGTGGCTGAAGTGGCTGAAGTTCTTTCTTTTCTCTTCCCTGTGTGCCTTATCTGTGTGGCTATTGGGTCTCTCCTCTGGCAYACTGGTCTCCTTTCTTTTCCCACCTTTTCCAACCTTTTCTTTGCACAGGTAACCCCTGCCCATCCCTTGACCTAGCCTTGCTGTACCAGTCAGCTCTTGGCAACACTGGTAGCAATTCCCTTATTCTGACTGTGGAATTRCTTGCAGGAATTAGCACCTGGAGTCCTTGTAAACCCTGGAGTGAAAATAACTAACAAAAAAAGTTGATCAAGAGTATTCACAAACTGTTTAAATATGGATTTTTACTACTTGATTACATATTTTCTTTTGGCTTGGTGTTTCTCTGGAGGGAGCACAACAGAGCAGATGCACTTCTGGTGTCGGTCTGATGAAAAGCTGCCGTCTCAGCTGCGGGATTGAGATCCTTGTGTGAACATCCTGCCACGTGAGATTAGAACAGCAATTCTACCTTCCAGTTACAGGATATGAAAGATCCGCCGCTTCATTAGAGCTTTCCTACGGTGACAGCTGAAGTGAGGGAGAACGGGGAGAGAGAAGCAATTTAAGAAAACCAAAGACTAGGCTAAAGTCTAAGCTGAAAGGTGATGTGGGGGAAGGAGCCCGAGATCTCATTACTGCTCACGCAGGGAAAGGAAGARGAACAACAGAGCAGTTGTTAAGCAGTACTGGCTTTGTCAAAATAATTGTCAAGTGCTCAGATTCCGTAGYCACAAGTGTGGCACTAATACCTGAGAAGAGGTGGAGAAGGCACGTGGGAGGAGTTGGTGTGGTTTCACTCATGCCCACATTTTTGTCTTTCTCGTTGCAGCAGACAGAAGGAGGGGCACAGACAGATGGACAGCAGTCGCAGACGCAGAGCAGTGAGAACACCGAGAGCAAATCCACTCCAAAACGGCTCCATGTGTCCAACATTCCCTTCCGCTTTCGGGATCCCGACCTTCGGCAGATGTTTGGGGTAAGTTGCTGGAGCCTGTTAAGGTAGCAAGTTCTCCTTCAGCACGAGTGGAGCACGTGGTGCTGACGTGTTCGTGTGGGGATAATGCCAATTCAGACAGCACTCTGCACAATGTTGTGCTGAAGTGGGTAATAACTGTGCTCATATCGAGTTGTTAGTAATCAGTTTGGAAAAACAAAACTAATCTTTACTTAATTTCCCAGTTAAGACAGGATTAAGCACTCAGTTGACTTACTATAGCCATTGCACGGCACTGTTTTTTGGTTGCTTAGAAACTTATTGAAATATTTGTCTTTCCTCATGATCCACTTTTGCTTTTTAAGAAGTGCTGGAAGAAATTTGCCAACCAGCAACTGCATGGAGTTGACACTGTGTGTGACGTGCATTCTATTCTGTTCTGACTGAATAGTTTCTCTCTGAGCTTTGTATCTATTCATCTCTGTATATAAATTCTCTGGGGAAGATTTTGTTCTCATGCATATAAGTGATGCYTGCTTCAGTGCAGATACAGAGATAAAGGAACTAGATGCTTCATAACCCAGTCTTCAGGGGGAGTTATCTGTATGTTGTCATTAAGGATCTTTGCCTTGTTGATAGGATGATAGGCCCGTGTTAAGTTAACACACTTAAGTGTTGTTACCTGCTTGAGATGTAGTGTAGGGGTCTCAAGTTGGCAACCACCAAAGGGCAGGTTACTCTTGCTGCCCTAACAGCGCTGCTTTGAGTGTATCTTGATCCTAACAGAAAGGGCAGCTGCTCCTCCAAATTCTTTAGAATTCTTGTGGCATCTCTGGAGCCTTTGCTGTGCGTGTGCATGCACATGCATATGCTCATAGGCAATATTTACAGTTCTGTTTATTTGTTAAATTCATGGACTTTTGAGTTTGGACTGCTGTAAATGAGAGAAGTGGGCTTGTCTGTAGTTTATGCAATAGGAAGTGAGCAAAGTGTGCAGAAATGTTCAAACATTCATTAATAGCCTTGGGTTGTGCTTGCCTGCAGGAGTCCCAATCGTTACGTATTGTGGGAACCCTTTGCTGCCTGTTCCTGGAGGGTTTCTTCTGGCTGCAGGAAGCAATTCTGGGGATGAGAGGGAATTGAGGGAAGTGAGCGAAAGGCAGGGGCTGCCCTGGCTCCTTGGAGAAAGGGGCTGACAGGAACTGAAGGCTTCACTGAAGAGAGGAACAGGCTGCAGCTGGCCGGGAGCAAGCGCAAGGTGGTGCAGCTGGGCGAGGGAAATGTGGAGCGCGGGGTCCGGCAGGGCTCGGGAGGCGCCTGTGCAGGGCAGGCCCCGGGGTCCCGGGGGGCAGGACGCTGCAGGGGGCTCTGCAGCGGGGAGGCCGCCCACGTGCCGTGCCGGGCTGGGCTGCCGAGCGCTGCTGCGGGGCCCCCCCTGCGCTCTGCTTGGCGCCTGGGCTGTGTCTGCAGCGCCTGGGCTCCCTCGTGCAGGGAGGACATGGAGGGTGGCAGCGGCCAGGGCCCGGGGGAAGGGGGCGTGCAAGGAGAGGCTGAGAGACCTGGGACTGTCCGGCATGGAAAAGAGAAGCCTAAGGGGGAATGTTTTTGTTGTCTACAGCTGTCTGATTGGAGGACGTTGGTGATGGAGCTAAATCCTCTTTGGAGACTCCAGGTTATAGGATGAGGGGTGACAAACACGAATTGGAACATGGAAAATTCCAATTAGATGTTAGGAAAATTCTTCTACTGTGAGGGTTGGCAAGTAGTGAAACAAGGTGCCCGGAGAAGTTGTGGACCCTCCGTCGTCAGAGGTGTTTAAGGCTCAACTGGACACAGTGCTGAGCAGTGTGATCTAATTAGACCTCTGCTCTGAGCAGAGTATCAGAAAAGAGGACCTCTGGAGATGACAGAGCTGGCATTTTGGTTCTAGGATTCCATGCTGTTAATGGATTTAAAGATCCATGGATGTTAAGAATAGGACTATATTTTAAGGGCGAAGGTCCTCTCCTGGCAATCTGTGGTTTCTCAGTATTCCCAGCTGCTTCTGCTTATGTTTTCCAGCTTGCTTTCCTTCCGTGGGGCCGTGGGTAGGCAGTTCTGTGCGGGGTGTGTAAGCTCGTGCCGCAGTCACGGCCAGGGCTCGGAGCACCTGCTGCAGCGAGTGCTTCGCYCCGCGCTGCCGCGGCTCCCGCTCCCGGCGGCTCCGCAGTGCCGCTCTCCCTTCCCGCGGGATCCATGCCCGTCCTGATGGCTCTGCCGGCTCCTACGTTGTCGTATTGGGCCRGATACCCCCCCTCTGTGCAGGCAGGCAGGGATGAGATGGAGATGACAAGGATATTCCTGCCCTGGTGACACTGGTGTCACCATCCTGTTCTTATCGCTGTTTTGTTGATGGGGAGAGCCAGGGGATTTGAGTGAACTGCTGTTTGGAGCCAACTCAGCCTCGCTGCTTCCGGGGAGGATTTCCATCCTTATCCGGGGCCCAGATGGTGTCACTGGTCTTACACGGAGAAGGGAAAGCTCCCTAGATGCGTTGGTCTCCATTGTTCTCCGAGTTACTTGCTGTTGGGTTACTGTCAAGATACCTTGAGTTCCAGCGCGGTGACACATTTAATAGGGGTCAGTGGTGTGTTTCCCCGTGAAACCTTTGGCCAGCTCAGCCGGCAGCGCGTGGCCTCTGTTCCGAGGCAGGCCCACCAGGAGCCAGCTCATCTTTTGGGGCATAAACAAGCCCTGTGCTGCTTTCCCGTAATAGAAAGCCCTGGTGTTTTGCCAAGGAAATAATCAATGACTCCCGTAGATCTCCCTTTCTCTCTGSCTGTGCTGCTTCTCTCAGCATGCTCGGAGCCTCGAGCAGGAATGTGTTTTGCTCCGAATCCCCCTCGCTCCGGCTTCTTTTTTAGGATCGGGATGCCTTCCCTTGGGTGACTCACTGGGACCAATTCTTTCCCCAGGGTGCTTGTGGTTGTCTGCATCCCCAGCTGTGCCTGCCTAGTAACCCCCCACCTTCCCCCTCTGCTCTCTGTGTGTCAGGTCACATCTCCTCAACGTCACATCTGGGAGACTCAGAATCCTTGCCTGGAGTGATTTTCCGAAGCTACTGTACAAAGAGAGAAATTGGGTAGACAGCAAAGCAGCAGAGGAAGAAATAAATGTGATGATGGGGAAGGAGTAAAGAAGTCCCTTTAGGATTGAGCAGAATGCGAGAGGTCAGGCCGGGCCCAAGGCACGGAGAATTAGCTGATGTTTTAGTGCAGCCTGGAATAGAGGTGGACTTCAGACATGTTGTTTTGTGTGTGACTGAGGGAAATTACATAACGCTTCCCATATCGTTGCCGTTTGTGAGAGCTTCCAGTGTAAGCACTTCCTGATGAAACCAAGTTATTCGGGTTTAAAATAATTTCTCACCTACTTTGTAGCAGATCTCTGGAATATGTTAAGACAGGGAACAAAGATTTCCTTATCTATCTACTTTCTATGTCTATATGCTGGACCTATTGCTATGGGGAGACAAAATAAACAGGCTGCTTCAATTAGGTAATACTTTCTCAGCATTTCATGTTGCCAGTGAAGTCTTCTAGAAAGCATCTAGAAGGAATAGGTCCTTATTTTAATGCACGGAGTTCTGCACCCGCAGTGGAATAAATCGATAGTTGACCTTGTTCTCGCAGATAGCGAAGAGTTAATAGCTGACTTGAATCCCACAGTTGCCTAGGTACCAGTGATTGTTATTTGCCTGCATTTACTTTGTGCAAACAGAATATGGCAGCAGTCAGAAATGGAAGGAGCTTTGGAAGGGCCAGTTCCTTTGGGTCGAGCCGGCTGGCGGGATAGCTGCCTGCGAGGGGTCCTCTGGACAGGGAGGCGTCAATGACGGTACCAAACGCTCAGCAAAACTGCTCTGAGAGCCAGAGAGATGCAGCTCCACAGTCACAGCAAGGGAGGAGGCGAGACAAAGAGCTATCCCTCCGTAAGGGAGCGAAGATGAGGTAAAGGAGAAAGTAAATGGCAGTGAATTGTATTAAACTTTAAACACGAGAATAGCACTGAGATGCCATGTGAGTTCAAGGGAAAAGGCAGCAGTTTTCACATGTTAAAGAAAAATCTAGGTATAGGTCCAGTGCAGAATTTGTAARTAGTCGTGTAAAAAAATAACTTGCTAATATATTTTTTAAAGTCGATCTATATAAGGAATGCCCAAGGATAATGGTCAAAGCATGGGAGTTTCTTACCCATGAATGTCAATTTTTAGCAGCTTCTGGTAAACACGGGGAATTGTAAAAGGATGGTAGACTGCCCACCTGGATTCAATATAACAATAATTAAAAGGGATGACCCAAAGAGTTATGTGTTAATTAGGCATTTGTTGACGCAAGATGAGAATAGTTTTGACATGTTAAAGCATCTGAAGATACACTTTAATATTATTCAGCACAACTTAATGCAGGAGAATGTCTTTTTAAACAAACATTTAGTCTATTTTGACAACGCTGCACTAAGCAATAGTGATAGAGTTAGATATTGCTCAAGTGTTTGATTTAGTCCATGTGAACAGTTTTGATTAAAAAAAATGCTTGTCTTATCTCAAATAAACAGAACACAGATTAAAAACCTCTTTAGATATAGATCTTAAAAAGTAGTAATTAATGGGGAGACGGTAGTGATTAAGACTATTTCTAGAGAAAATTTYCCCCAGGGATCTTTTTTCAATCTCATTCCTATTCAATATCTATACCAGCCATGGAGATAGTAATATTAAAACCTCACCAGAAAGATTTGCTATTTGAAACACTACTTGGGAAGGAGGAAGATTAAATTCGATCAAAGAATGAGTTGAAATGACTGGTTGATTGCGGAGAAATCTGACCAAAAAAAAGTGTGTTTGATGGTTGATAGCTTAGTGCAAGGTACCRTGTATTTGGGAACAGGCCGTCCTCATAGGACGGAAAGTTTTCTTTGTAAAGCAGCGATTTGGAAGTACTGGGTGTCAGCAAAGAGAGCGGCTTCAGCGGTGCCGAGGGGAGTAGCAGCCTGAGACACGC